TTTTGGCGAGAAAAAAATATTTGTCGAGAGATTAATTTTAAAAGTAACAAGTATTAAGTGCTGCAGTGTCTTCAGTGTATTGAAGACTTTTGGCTCTCTTTCCCAACGCACAGATTGTCTTCAGGAATAGAGATATTAAATTGTCCATCTTAATCTATATCATCTCTATCCTAGTCCACACAATCTAGCACTTTTTCCCCCCCATGGGGTCAATTCAGAAAAAATAACTATGTTTACAATTGTGTAGTTCCCATGTAGGTATTAAGGTATCTGATCAGAGTAGGGGATATTTTTAAAGCAAGAAGATAAAGACTCTTCTTCACACAGATAATTCTTGACAAATAGAAGGAAATCTGAGTCTGAATACTTCCATTTATACAGGTTACTATTGAAGATGTGGGCTAGGTCTATGTATGAAGTAAGGCTGCAGTGGTTAGGGGGACCCTGATACATGTGTTGTCAATAAACATTGATAGTGAAACTTCCCAGCAACACAGGGTGCCTATGAGAATAAGATGTTACAGTTTCAAATGAGGAGCCATGAAATAGGTCTAATTATATCTAAGGCTGCCAATAGTTCTTGGGTGATTTCTTGAGTTTAGGGATGAAAATAGCAGTTATATATATTTTAAAACACTTCTTTGGAACTACTTTAAAAAATGACAACACTCCATTGTCTTCTTCCTTATCATGTGTAAAAATATTTTTTTAACATATTGTATACTTATTTATAAGTTGATTTATTTATACTTATATATGATATATACATGAGTCCACTCTTATTTATCTTAGGAAATTAAAATAGTATATGGCAAATTTGACATCATTTACTGATACCTCACATGCTACAGGACTGATTTTTAGAAACAGGATTTGGGAAAGGTCATATTGACTAGAATTCAGAAAGCCAGGACAAATTACATTGGCTTTTATGATGCACTAGAGGCCCGGTGCATGAAGTTCGTGCAGTGTGTGTGTGTGCGTGTGTGTGTGTGCGCGCGCGCGCGTGCACGCGCGCGTGCCTCAGCTCAGCCTGCACCCTCTCCAATCTGGGATACCTCTCACAATCCCGAACTGCTGGCTCCCAGTCGCTCGCCTGCCTGATTGCCCCTAACTGCTTCTGCCTGCCAGCCTGATTACCACCTAACCCCTCCCCTGCCGGCCTGATCACCCCCAGCTGCCCTGCCCTGCAGGCCTGGTTGCCCCCAACTGTGGGTCGCCCCCAGCTGCCCTCCCCTGCCGGCCCAGTCACCCCTAACTATCCTCCCCTGCAGACCTGGTTGCCCACAACTGGCCTCCCCTGCAGGCCATCTTGTGGTGGCCATCTTGTGGCCACATGGGGGCAGCCATCTTGTGTGTTGGAGTGATGGTCAATTTGCATACTGGTCGTGGCTAATTAGCGTATCCAGGCTAATTAGCATATTCCTCTCTTATTATATAGGATTACTTTGATCAAGCTCTTTTGACTGAAGCAGAATAAAATGTTGAATTTAAGCATATGCAGGGTACATAGGGCCATAGTGAGAAGGGGGAGAAGTTGAATATTTGAAAATTATGGTAGAAGAAATCTCAGTGATCACAGATTAATTTCAGTTGGTCCAATAAGAAATGTACCCAAGATAGTTTGAGTTGAGGTGTATGAGTATGACAAAGTATGAATAATAATTTCAGTGTTCTTTAATTTTTACAGTAGTAAATTTACTGTTTTGTACATCTTGAAAGTATATCCAGAATTTGACCACTTTTTACTATCTCAATCAGTGTCACCTCTTGCGTATCTACCACATATCTTGCTTATGTTATTGCAATAGCCTCCTAAATATTGCTGCCTGTTGAAATCACCTGAAGATTTTGAAACTTCTTATGCCTGGTTCTTACTGGCATTCATTCTGATTTAAGGAATGGGCATCAGGATTTTTTTAAGCTTCTAATATGCACGGCTCCAAATAATCAGAAAATCAATACTCTTTTCCTGAAGTAGTCACTTTTTATTTATTTTAAGTAGCCCCTTTATTTTTACTATATTTTTCTGCAAGTAGCGATGGTCTTTTAATTTGGGACATTTCTACTTCTTAAAATTATTAAGTCCTAAGTGTAACCATTAGGGCTCTTAGTTGTGAGCAATGAAATCTGACTCTGGCAGATATAAATAGAAATGAAATTGAGTGGTTCACAGCATTTGTAGAAGGCTGGATGGAGCCAGCCTTAGAAAAAGTACAGGAACAAAGAGAAGCTAAGCAGCTAGAGTCACAGCACAACATGCCAGCAAGATCATTACTGCTGTCTCTGCTGAACAGTGACTGGGTGCCTCAGATTGCACTCCTGGTTGCACTGGCCCCTTCATGCAACCACTGGCTCTGCTGCCATCACTTCTCTTGGAAAGTACATGTCATCTCCACTGTGGCTATTGTCAGAAAGAATTGTCTCTTGTCTCTTTGCCTTTCTGTGCCACTAGTTCCCATATGAGATAGTGTGTGAGTGGGATAATTGTGGACTGCCAGGACATGTGGAAAAGCAAGCACATATCTGGCAATTTTCCTTTTTTAATAGTGGAACATAGCCTCTGTCTTGAATCAAAACTTGTGAAGTTGTGAATTTTTCAAATAAAAGCCAGGGTTTTACATGGTTGGAAGCCAACAAATAGCAAAGGTTTACACATAGTGTAGTCAACAATGTGTTATTTATTTTATGCATTAATTCACTGGTTCTCAAACTAAGAACCCATAAGACATGGTGTTCTTCCATAATTATTTTTATACATTTAGAGCATGGTACCACTTGTTCTTTAGCAAGTAGTAAGAGGTAACAAAATAGATGAGCAAGTAGCAAGCAAATTAATAGGGAAAGTTGGACATATAAGTATTTGTGTATTATTTTTAGAGGTGTGGAGACCAGAATAAGTAGAAAATAGGCATGCTTCTTTTTATCTTATTTTATTTTATTTTATTTTTTCTTTTAATCTTTATTGTTGAAAGTATTACATAGGTCCTCCTTTTTCCCCCATTGCATGTTTCTTGGTAGTTAAAATATCCTGAGTTTCTATGATGGAAGCTGTATATCAATATTTATGTTAACATTGTCCAATAGAAATATAATGTGGACCACAAATATAATCCATAGATACAATTTTAAATTGAATTTAAAAAGTAAAAACACCATTCATTTTAATAATATATATTATTTAACCCAGTGTGTTCAAAATTATTTCACTTCAACATTCAATATAAATATTTAAGGGCTAGTTTACATTTTTTATCACACTAAGTCTTCAAAAATCTAGTGTGTTTTAAACTTAGAGCACAGCTTATTTCAGACTAGCCACATACAATGTGCTTAATAGTCACATGTAATCAATGGCTACCATATTGGACATCACAGTTCTGTGGCATTGCATAAAATGCCATCTGATCTCCAAGTACTAAACATACTTATGATGTAGTGTTTTAGACATTTTGTGAAAACTGAATAGGTGTTTCACAAAATGTAAAAAAATGTAACCTAAAAGTAATAAGTGCTTGGTTATCCATTCTCCTCTAATTCAAAACAGTTTTACTTGACATTGCAGTGTTTTGCTATTTTTATGGTGGGGAGGGAAGTGTGAAATGGGGAAGAGAAACCTAATTTTGTTTTTATTATTTTTTATTTTCTGAACATCGAAATTTGTAAGTAATTAGGGTATTCCAGATGTGCCTTAAGGCAGAGAAAGCAACATGCTGTAGTGCAGAGCTTGCATGTGAATAATTAAATTAATTATATTTTATTACATTTTATCGAAGTTTTAAAAATAAAAATATAATAGTGACTGAGTCTGTACTCAAGAGTTTATCTATCATATATGATTTTTTCCCCTAGATAATTCATGTTGAAAGTAAGTCTTGTGTTCTAATTATTTTTATTCTTGCAGGCTGCTGAATCAGGAATAATAAAAGTTAAAACAATAGCTGCACGAAACACCGAAATTTTGGCAGGTAATTTTTTGTATTAAAAATTCAATAATCAATGAAAAATTGACTAATAGAAGTAGAATCTTAAAAAAACAACAACAGTTTTTGTAGCACAAAGTTCCTAACTTATTAACTAACTGGGTTTCTCAGAGATGAATGCTATAAAATCCTCTGAAGTAAAATATATAAAATTATTAACTCCTTAAAGGCAAGATTTTTCTTACTCATCTTTTCATTCTCCTCTACCTTTTGTCAATAACCTAAGACACACCTTACCTATCCAATTATTATTTGTTGTATTGAATTGAATGTTAGATTGGCTCTCAGTCCACCTCCTAAAGTCTATTTTATCTTTAATATAAACAAGTCATAATGTAGTGTTATAATAAACCTAGTAATACTAAATGAGTTTTCAGTCCTGCGACTAAGGCATTATAGTCATGAAGAAAGAATGGGAGTGGGGTGGAGGAAAGAAAACAAGTATTTTCTTACATTCTCATGATTGAACCTGGTGTTCAAGAAGAGCTTTGAAGAGGTTTTTTGGGGGGCACCATTTTGATATAGTCTACTTTTTCTTTGGTGCCTTTCTATTCTTACATCAGTCATGAACATGGAAAGGAAGGAAACTGGTATTTTTGAAAATTTGTTACATGTCAACTTTTTGTGCCACTCTGTCTTATACAAGACAGTCTTATGGGGAAATATTTTTATTTTATAGAAGAGCAAGTTGAGATGTGAAGAGAGTAAGTTACTTGCCTATGATCACATGATAAGTGATGGAAACAGATTCAAACCCAGAGTTATTCAGAGCCACCACATTCTTTCTGCTGCAGTGCCATGGTGTTGCGAGGTTTCCATACCAGCTACCCCTCCCCCATGTTTCTACTTAAACATTGCTTACTTCACTGACCCTTCCTTCAGTCTGCTTTTCCAGTTCCAATAATGCTTTTGGTCTCAGCTAGTTATAGGAGAAAAGCAGTCCTATTAAGTTAATTTACACAAAGTCTAAATAGTAGTAAGAATCTCTGACTCTCATAAATCTCTACTTTTTAAAAAAATATATTTTATTGATTTTTTTACAGAGAGGAGGGAGCAGGAGAGAGAGTTAGAAACATCGATGAGAGAGAAACATCGATCAGCTGCCTCCTGCACACCCCCTACTGGGGATGTGCCTGCAGCCAAGGTACATGCCCTTGACTGGAATCGAACCTGGGACCCTTCAGTCTACAGGCCGACGCTCTATCCACTGAGCCAAACCGGTCAGGGCCAAATCTCTACATTTTTAAAAAAGGATACCAAATACAGCTCTAATTGGTGGGATTTCAGAGTATTACAAAATGAAATGAAGACTTTTGGGGGCAGTTTAAGAATGGGAGGTGAGAGTGGGTTTTACATAGGCTTGCCAGCTTTGCTGCAAATTTGCCCTTAGGGTTAGCTCTCCTAAGTTACATCTGTTTCTCACAGCCTCTTCTCTGATTTTGAACATTCTGTCAAACATCAAATAGTTTTACAGCATTATTCACAGCATTGAATAATGCTCAGTGTGCATGTTGAGAAGGGGTGAAGTGAAGGGAAAAGGCAAAGGTATGTATTGTTGGATTCAGAGGGTGGGCAGGTGGATTTTAGGAAATGCATGTTGTGAGAAAATTAATGATTAAAGATAAATTATAATCTGGATATTTTTAAGTTGGAGACATGATAGACCAATCATATTAGAATATCATTATACATATTTACTTTTGCTACTGTTATTGCTGATATTATGGTAAGTTCTTAATTATTCTCCAATAATAAAAGTTTACATTGGGTCTGTAGTTGATGGGGGATATTTTAAAAAGACTGATTTCTTTAGAGGATCATTACCTGTTATAGAGTTGTATACCAAGTAAAATATCTAATTAGTTAATCCTTAAGGATGAGTAATAAAAATTTTCTCAGTCAGTATGAGTTTAGTATATAGATAAGCTATTAATTTCATTCTAAAGCACTTAGCTTTATCTAAATCAAGGTAGAACAAATCTTTATGCACATACAATTAATCAGTCATGCTTTAATATTCATAGTATCTAAAGCCACGTACCTGAGGAGCTATTTAAAATTTTTCCTGGTGTTTGTTTTGTTTGGTTTGTTTTTTACCAAGTATTTATAACAATTGATACTTTAAATTTTACAGATTTTTTAGACCACTGTCATTTTGAAAAAAATCAAAGGCTCTTAAGAACAAAAGAGTTTAAATTCTTCAATATGTAGTTTCTAAACTGCTTAGTTCAGAGTACAGTTAATACTGAGAAATAAATTTAGTTGATAGGTTTTTTTTTAATTTCCTGAGGAATGTTTGCTTCTCTATAGTGCTAGGGACTATAAGTTACTATGTTTATGCTGTAATGGATGTTAAAGATACATAATTGAGGCATCTTAAATGAGGTGAGATACTGAATTCTCAGAGATCTTTGCATATTCAGAAAACATAATGGGTTGCTATAAAAATCAGAACCTTGAGTTAGGATCAGTCTGATTAATGATATCCAGCATAAATTTCTAGCCAAATTTAGTTTTCTTAGATTTATTTTCCAAGGGAAGGTTATTTACATTGCAGAATAAATCTTTGTTTTACATCTCCCCTTCTTTTAAGCATCCTCCTTTAATGTTTATTTTTCTTTGTTTTCACTGCTGTCATGAATGCTGACATAAGTGGGAATGCTTTGCCAGGTAATGTCAGCATTGATTCAGATATACAGATCATTTTCTCAAAATTTCCTTTTTCTTTTAAAAACAAAACTGTTAATGAGAGATAGCAACATAAAATTTTTCATTTACAAGGCCAAATGCCTTAATCTTATATTTGATTACCATATGTTACAAATTGTTTTTATTATACCATCTTAAAATATACTTGAAATTGACTGAGAAAGCTTATGCTATTCAAAAAGTACATAACAGAGAATCTGTTTTTTGGATAAATATTTGAACAAGAAATCAATGAAGTTGTGATGTCTTTTAAAACTGTGTATTTAACGCCTACACAAAACTAGACAATTACATCTACCCATAGCTGCTTTCAGCTACTGTCAGATACATGTAGAATTTTACACAGATAATTATTATGTATGATTTGTGTTCTTTTCCTCACATAGATTCCCTCACCTTTTTCATTTCTACATGATCTTATTACTAAAAGGTCTCTAATTTAAGTAATTCAAGTAAATATACTTTGTAATTTTCCTCCAACATTAAAAAGTAAATTATCTTCTGATTTTATTTAGTATATTGTCTTATCAATACATATACTTGTGATATTTCATAAACATTTATAGACTATATCATACAACATATTCTTAGTAGGAATAATTATGTAAGAAGCACCAGGTGTGATACAAAGACAGTTAATATAATTTACCTATAATCTATATGGAAATATAAGAAATATATTTGAATATATTTGAGCCATGCTGTTTAGCTTACTTGCCTTTTGAAGTCCTTTGCCAGAAATTTTCCCTTCCAGATAACATACTCCCTGTGAGGTCAGGATCAATATCTTACTCTTCCTTATATTGCAAGTAGGTAGTACATTATTTGTGAAGTAGGAAGCCCTCATTAAATGCAGATATGTGTCTAGTTACTCTAGTATGTTTTTCTACTTTTCTTTAATTTTCCATTATGATGATTTGAGTACATTTTGTCTTATTTAATTCATGTCAGCCAGATAACAGAGTAATGAAGGAATCAGACCCTAAGTAGAGAATTCTAATACTATGTGGTAAATGCCAAGATGGAAGTATAGATAGGCTTGTTATGGAAACATAGGGCAGGCACCTAATCCATCCTGGGAATCTGTAGGTGAGTCTTGAAGCCTGAAAAAGAGATAGCTAGGCAAATAAGTTATAGAAGAGGAAAGTAAAGGAGATTACTTATATACATGAGGTATAAAACATCTTGGTCTGTTTAGTTACACTATTCAGGTATTACCATTGTGTGTGATATCCTGAGCAGATTGATGGAAAGAGTTTGAATCAGGGAAGTGACACATTAGTATTTTTATGTAAATTCCTCTGACAGCAATTCGGAGGATATACTTCAGTGTTCCATCAGTAAGGCAGAGGTCTGTTGGTAGGCTATTCCTATAATCCAGGCTAGAAGACACAGGGGGCTATAACTAATGTCATGCTCACAATTTGAGCTAATGGGCCAGAGTTTCTTTACAATACAATGTGTTCTTATTTATTATATTTCCTTGGGTTTGGGTTTTTTTTCTTTGAAAAATTTTAATTTTTATCCTGCTTTTTATTATATTATAAATACTTTTCTTTGATGCCATCTTTTATCATTTTTTTAAGTTGCTCTATAATTTAGTAATTATAGCTTATTTAACCATTCCTCTATGGTAGGCATGTTTTAGTATTTAGAATTTTTTAAAGATTAATTTCTAGAAATGAAATTAATAAACTAAAGGGTATGAACATGTTCTTGGAATTTGTTACCACACTGCTTTCTTCAAAGATAAAACTTGGTGCATTTACCAATATATGTGAGTATCTTTAAAACATCCTTGCCAGATTATTATTTATAAAAAATCTTTTTGGTAATTGAACAGGCAGATGACTTCTAATTTAAATGACATTTCTCTTTAATATTACACATTTTTCTCTGAATATATTCTATTTTATTTTACATTTATTTTGAGTTTTTGTATCTTCCATATCAAATTTTTGAGGTATTTATATAGCAAATATATTAAATTCCCATCATGTGTATATTTTCTGCAAGTCATTTACCTTTTAATTTTTTAATTAGATCCTTTTTATTTTTACATAATCTAATTTTCTGATTTGTTGCTCTCTGCTTAGGAAGCTCTTCTCCTACCACATAGTTTCTATTTTTTCCTAGTTTTTCTGCAGTTTGATTTTTTTCTTAATAATATATGGGATGACATAAGGACCTAGATTTTATTTTGTTTTGCAAAATTATTAATTGTACCTACATCATTTGTTGAATAATCCTTCCTTTTTTTTTAATAATGTACTTTTAATATGAGACTCTCCATGCTTTTATTTGTCTTTCAATTCTTGAGTTATTTAAAACATTTTCAGACCTTTTGAACCATTACATTTTTTTTTAAATGTCAGTAATATCAGTCTTTTCCCTAAGTAGATTTTAAGGGTTTTGAGGATAGCAATTGTTTTCACATCACATTTTATTTCTTTCATAAGAATTACAATTTGTTATTTAATGGCCATTAAAATTCATCATAATAAAACTTTTATTAGTCCCTATTAGTGTTATTCATAGTGGGGTATCCTAGTTTAATTCTTTTTTTCCAGGATAAAAACTGCAGTTATGCAGTGAAACTCCTCAGAGCAAGGAAACCCCTAGGATATGGGGACCTGCTGGACCTCTTTCAGGTGTGTGAAAGTACATCATTTGAACTCATAGTTATAAAATTTGGACATAAAATATATTTATTAAACACACAGTGTTATTCAATCAAAGGAATTATACCTATTAAGGGACTTAGGTAGAAAATAATCTTTTTTTAGCCCCCAAAAGCTATCTTTAAATTTTAAAGGAAATAGAGAATTTTGATTAAAAAGAGTTGACCTTTTCCTTTTTTCCTGGGCTGATAAAAAAAATGGTTAAATCAAGTTAGATGTTCTTTAAATTGCTGGGCAGTGTTTTTTTCCATGTGATTTTCAGAGTTTATACCCATAAGGTTTTTATATAAAACTATGCTTAAATAGTGTGTCATTAAAATTATTATATACAAAAGGAGAGCAACTATTCTCATGTAAAAGAGTAAGATTAATTTCTGCTTCTTAGGTCAGCTATCCCTTTTAAAAGAAAAACACCAGTAGCTTTTTTCCCCCTGATCATTATCTTACTGCATTGCGATCTGCATATGAGGAATGTGTTTTTGTTTTTCACATTATGCTTCAAGACACAGAATAGATCAACAGATTTATTTATTTTTTCGTTGATCATCTGTTCTGTATATTATAGAGACTTCCCTTTCGACCATTATATTGTCATGTAAAGTGGGAGGGGGAAAAAAAAGTGGGAAGGAGACAAGAGATATTTGATTACTTTGAGTTATATTAAAAGGAAGTTTTTAAAAATTATTTTTATTACTATCTTAAGTTTATCTCAGTTTGATAGATCTGGATAACTGTGACTGACATGGATACACCATTTCATTATAATTCACCTTATTCATTCGAAGATGCAGTTTTTTCACAGTTTAATATTCCCCAAATTGGTATGCATCATACAATTGATGGCATCTAAGAATCACTGTAGGCCAGGTGGTGTTATAGTTGTTTATTTTCAGTGCATATGTGAACGTATTTATAATTGTTCTTATTAGCACATCTGTTATGTGCATTGTTATCACATTAAGTTTAATTGCCTTGTAAAATGTCACCTTAGTTATTGTACACAAACTTTCTGTTAATGTCTTATGGTAAGTAAGCGCCAGCATCAAAACATGGGTGTTATTACGATCTGACAGTAGTGAAGTACTCTGAGGCATCTCCAATATTCTTTGATAGCCAAACAGTGGCTCGCTAGCCACATGCGGCTCTTTGGCCCCTTCAGTATGGCCACGAAGTTTCAATCGCACTGTACGTGCACGCCCGTACGTGGTATTTTGTGGAAGAGCCACACTGAAGGGGCCAAAGAGCTGCATGTGGCTCGTGAGCCGCGGTTTGCTGACCACGGGCCTAGACACTAGAGCAGTGATTCTCAACCTGTGGGTTGCGACCCCTTTGCGGGTCAAATGACACTTTTGCAGGGGTCGCCTAAGACCATCGGAAAGCACATTTATAATTACATATTGTTTTTGTGATTAATCACCATGCTTTAATTATGTTCAATTTGTAACAATGAAATTGGGGGTCACCACAACATGAGGAACTGTACTGAAGGGTCACGGCATTAGAAAAGTTGAGAACCACTGCCCTAGAGGATGAAATTGTAAGGAAAAATTTAAGTGATTAGTTAGCACTGTATCATAGTTTATAATTGGCACTGATTTACACTCTTGAGAGATTATGGATATGTCTTGAAACCATTGTCATTAGCCATTCTATAAAAATACATTGTTTTTCCTTCTATGAAGACAGGATTCCTTTCCTACATTTATCTGAAGGCTTAAGGCAGACAACTTTAAAGTGCAGATCATTGGTTCTTCTTAGATACTTTTAACTCTCTTCCTTCTATTTGTATCAAGTCCTGTTTACTTTAAATAGGGGCAACATAATGTGGAAAAAATAGTGGAACAGGGAGTTAGAAGACATTTTCCAGTTTTGGCTGTAGCACATACTTATTGCTTGGGCCAAGTCATGCCATATAAACTCTATTTGATTATTGTGATACCAAATGAGAAACACATGCTAACATTCTAAAAAGTATAAATGCAGCTTGTTACCATTGAAACTTATTTGCCAGAACAATCCTATCTAATAATAGACAAACATGGTATTTGACCGTACCTTCGCTATGCCTCCCATTGGCTAATCAGCGAGATATGCAAATTAACCACCAAACAAAGATGGCGGTTAATTTGCATACGCAGTCGGGAAGCGGCAGAGTGAAGACTGAAGGTGGCTCTGGCTGGAGCGAAGGCCTGGGTCCCCGGTGCCGGAGGAAAACTGGTGCCAGCAGCCGGGGAAGGGAAGGCCTATTGCACGAATCTTTTCGTGCAACAGGCCTCTAGTATTTAATAATTAGAAATGTTCAGATGAGTTAGGGGTTAGCCTCTTATATGGCAGGATATTTACTGCATGAGAGCTTTATTATCATCTTTTAAGAATTCATATAAATGTTTTGAGACATTGTTATGGAAAATTTATGTCTCTGGATTTGAATCCAAATCTTTATGCACAAGAAAGCAAGGAAATAAGGCAAGGGAACCCTTTTGGAAACTGTTCTTCACAAGTCATTTTTGCCATCTCTTAGCTGTTCTAACTTGCCAATTTAATCTGGCATACGGAGGGGCTTTACAGATCATGGTGTAAGATATTGTAGTCTTTATTTACCATACCATAAAGTGAGTTTTGGGAGCATAAAGGTAGAGATTTAAATAAAATTCATGTTAACATTGGTTTTATTCTTATAGTGGTTTTTCTGGATGACTTTCTCATAATTTCCTTGGCAAAACTTGTTAAAATTCAGATTGGTATGTCTTTATTATGTTTTAACCTCTAACATAATTGATGTGTATAGTACCTTTGAAAACATATACCAAACACGTAAGTTTAATATGTTCTTGATTTATAATCCCATGTTATTTATTCAAATTCCCGGAGGATGCCAAACCTGTCTTATATTTGTGTAGCCATTCAATGTGTATTGATTTAATTTCATTTTATAAATTTAATTATATATAATTCAGTTTACACATATTCTAAGCTTTTACATTTTTGCTGCCACTTTAAAACTTCTGAAGGAATTGGCTTGGTAGAAAGAATTAAATTAAGATTTGGAATTATAGCATGTGCATCCAATTTAAAGTAATGTTTCATTAATAAGAGGAGCAATGTTATTGTTTTTAATGAGCTTATTTCTTAAAGAAAAATTAGGCTATGCAAATGCAAGGCACCTATAATAAGAAAAGTGTAATATGCTAATTAGACCAGACAGCTGAACAACCTTCTGGACGTCATTCTGGACATCTTTCCAGACAAAGCCATGGCCAAGGCAGAGGCGGATAGGGGCGGTCAGGCAGGCAGGCGAGCAGTTAGGGAGGATCAGAAAGGCAGGCAGAGGGGTTAGGGACGATCAGGTAGGCAGGTGAGTGGTTAGGGGCTATCAGGCAGGCAGGTGAGCAGTTAGGGGCAATCAGACAGGCAGGCAGGCAGAGTGGTAGGGATGATGAGGCAGGCAGGCAGGCGAGTGGTAGGGGTGATGAGGCAGGCAGGTGAGCAGTTAGGGACAATCAGGTAGGCAAGTGAGAGGTTGGGGTAGTCAGGTAGGCAGAGGTGGTTAGGGGTGATCAGGCAAGCAGACGGGTAATTAGGGGTGATCAGGCAGGCAGGAGAGTGGTTAGGGAGGATCAGACAGGCAGGCAGAGTGGTTAGGGGCAATCAGGCAGGCAGACAGGCAAGTAGTTAAGGGTGATCAGGCAGGCAGGCAGGGGAGTGGTTAGGAGCCAGCGGTTCCAGATTGTGAGAGGGATGTCTGACTCCCCCAAGGGGTCCTGGATTGTGAGATGGTGCAGGCCAGGCTGAGGAACTCCCCCCTCCCCGTGCATGAATTTTGTGCACTGGGCCTCTAGTATAATATAATTATAGAGAGTTTCTGAACATTCAGAAGTATGGTAGAATGATATATATACTATTTTAAATTACTTTTTTCTGCTCTGTGATATGAATTTTTATTCATGTTTTCCCTTCTGTACTAATGAAAAAATGGTATGCTTCTCTGAGGCAGGATAAACTTCTGAGAAGTTGACCTTAAAGAGTATAGTACCATAAGAAGGAGCAGCGATAGAGTGTCAGGAGAAAGGCATGGCAAAGCTATAGTTAAGGGGTGTAGTTTAGATATGAATTTATAACATCTATTTGAAGTGTTTTAACTCTTATACTTGGTTTTTATTTTGGTGTTAATTTTACATAGTTTTTAAATCATCATTACTATTTGTAATTATATAAAATGTATTGCTATTTATGAATTAGATTTAATCATTTATTTTATATCTGTTCTAAATAAAGCATTAAAAGAGAACAGCTCAGAGGTTGTTCAGCCTTTTCTAATGGGTTGTGGAACCAAGGAACCGAAGATCACTCAGCTATGTTTGGCCGCCATTCAGAGACTCATGTCACATGAAGTTGTATCTGAGGTAATGTGAAGATTTTATCTGAACTATGCACCTAAGAATCAAAGCAGTTTTCACAAGGGGAGAATGAAGCATACCTATATTTAATGTAAAGCAGTTTTATGACTACCAATGTGCTTGAAGGACATGGCTAAATTTTAAAAGATTAGCAAATTACTTTATTATTAAGTACTCAAATAATAAAAATGTAAGTGCATTTTTCAAGTCATTTACAGTGTAAGTAGTCCCAGAGAACCACGCATATTTTCATATTACTGAAGAGAATATCCTGTATAATAAAATGCTAATATGCAAATTGTCCCTTGGGAGTTCGATTGACTGGGAGTTTGACCGTTCACTATGACGTACGGTGACCACCAGGGGGTGGCGTGGGATGAAGGAAGGCCCCGGCCTGCAGCTGCCAGCTGGGGGAAGGAAGGCCCTGATCAGCCCTGACCACCAGCCAGGCCTAGGGACCCTACCCATGAGTGAATTTCATGCACTGGGCCTCTAGTAAGTCATAAAAATTTTTTTAAGGTAGGAAGGAAAATCATGACTGTTTCCTAAATTATCTGAAGTGAAATTCATTAATTAAATGTCTGTGCAATCCCAGTTAGGGGTGCATGCAGAAGGCAACCAATCTTATCTTATGATGGTAAAACAAGGAACAACATTTCATCTAATCTTATGATGGTAAAACAAGGAACAACATTTCATCATTATGAATCTACATCCTCGTTTAAATATAATGCTATTAACCTTAACTTTGTACTATTTAAAGCATTTTAATAGAAGTGGTAAATTCTTTTGCCTTTAGTATAGCATTCAAACTGTCAGAATAAAAAAAATTGAGATTATAAAGATGTTAATTGAAGTTGAATTTTAATTTTTTCTATAACATACTATAGATAACACTAGAGGCCCAGTGCACAGATTCATGCACCAGTGGAGTCCCTCGGCCTGGCCTGCACCCTCTCACAATCCGGGACCCCTCGGGGGATGTCGGACTGCTGGTTTTGGCCTGATCCCTGTAGGCCAGGCCGAGGGACCCCATCGGTGCAAGAATCCATGCACCGGGCCTCTAGTATGCATATAAGATCTTTGGTTAATCTCTTCCTGCCTACCCTCCTCCCCACTTTCCTCTGAGGTTCATCAGTCGGTTCCATGTTTCCATGCCTGTGCGTTGAGCATCTGCCCCCTGGTGGTCAGTGCACATCAGCTACTGGTCGAATGGTTGCTTAGGCTTTTACATATATAGATAAGAAACAGCAGACACGTAAGGGATTTGCATATGTCCATATTCATCAATGTCCAAATGAAATATTATTGTAGACATAAGCTTTGATTTTAACTACATATTTCAGAACTGCATGTTGTTAGTTGCAAATATTGAAATGGTGTACAGTGGGGCCTTGACTTACGAGTGTCTCGACGAACGAGTTTTTTGAGATACCAGCTGTCTCTCCGCTGATTTTTTGCATTGAGTTGATGGAGTAATTTGAGTTAACGAGCTCCTTAACTAGCTCCTTAACAAGCTCGGTCTCGAAATGAATTAAACTCGTAAGTCAAGGCCCCACTATATTTTAAAGAAATTCATTTTTTAGAAGAAATTTAATTGGATGTAAGTCTCAAATTAGTTGAGAGACGTGTTTGGATCTATATATCTAAAACACAGGTTTTGTTATTGTGATCAAGGAATTTTCTCCAAGTGAGGTAATATTTATATACCTTTTTTATTTAGGGACTTAAGCACTTATATTTTATTGTTGACAATAATTAAAATAATTACTTTACAGACTGCAGCTGGAAATATAATTAACATGCTTTGGCAGCTAATGGAAAATAGTCTTGAAGAACTTAAGCTACTTCAAACAGTTCTTGTTCTTTTAACAACTAATACAGTAGTTCATGACGAGGCACTCTCTAAGGTAGGAAACCTGTTTTGACAAAGTTCATAAGTGCTTGAGACAGTATTTGAATAAGCTGTTGGAAAGAGAAAAGCCTGGTTTGAATCAAAGGTAACTTCCCTATAAATATTGTGATAATGGATATTGTAGGTTAAAAACCACTGGTGCCAGATTTTTCTCAGAGTTAAATTGAAATCAGTTTAGGGTTATGAAGCAAATCCCTTTGGGTATAGCTGACAGGGTTAGTTATGAATAGGAAAAAGAAAAGTAGCAGAGGAATACTAATAGAGGAAGAGGAAAGTAAGAGAAAAAAATGTATTTTGAGGTATCAGTGTTCCTCCACAACTGCCTTGAGTATTCCTCTGATAGCTCTCCCTTATCCCCTTTTAAAAATAATTTCACCTGTATGTGATATGTAAGCCAGATAGTTTAAGCCTGTCCATTAAATAGCTGAAAAGGCGTCCTTTTGGCATTTAAATTAGATAAGGTTGCATGTACGATAAGTATTTCTCATTTCTTACAACTCCCACCCTCTTTGGAATATATAATAGTTACTCTATTATTTATTTCACTCTCCAAAAAGTTTCCCTTTAATTATGAAATATTAAAAGAAATTATGAAATATTTCTTAAGAACAGAGAGTAATATAAAGAACAGTCATTAATTAATGGCTTATTGTTTAAGAAATTTGTTGGACTTTTACTAATAGTTCTATTATAATTAGCATGCCTTTAAGGATGGACAGCTTATAAAGTAGAAAAATATACTGTCTCTTGAGAGCATCTTTTCTAGTTACTTTCGATGTTCTTAGGTTATGAAATTTTACTTAATTGCAAATAGCTTATTCTTTTAATCTCATACCTGCTTTATAAACTATTTTATGTATTTTTATAAAGGGATGGGCAAAAGTGGGTTTATAGTTGTGAGAATGCAAAACACAGAATTCATTCTTGTATTATCATTTATTAATTATTATGTCATTGTCCACATGAACAGCTATAAACCTACTTTTGCCCCATCTTGTATGTACTTTTGTTGTATGTAATTCTTCTTGGTTTCTAGCTATCAAATTGTTGTGTGTGTATGTGTATATATATATATATATAATTTTAAAAATTTTATAAAAGATTATTATTTGTCCTACCAAAACAATAAGAACTGATTATAGTTTTATAAATAAATATTAGATTAATTTTAATATGGTTACTTTGGGAATGTAATATTTTGTGATAAAAATGAAGTAAAAAATTCTATACATTTGAAATGTGAAGAGTAATAGTGGTATAAAGGCTTAATTATTTCCTTAAAACATTTAATATAATTAATATGATAATATATAGAATTTAAATGATCATGTCTTCAAAAATGTTTCTTTTTTTGCTTATCTGTCTAAATATGTTTTTATTGATTTTAGAGAGAGAGGAAGGGAGGAGAGAGAGAGAGAGAGAGAGAGCCTCCTGCACACCCCCTACCAGAGAGAGAGAGAGAGAGACATTGATGAGAGAAACATTGGTTGCCTTCTGCATGCACACCTAACTGGGATTGCACCCACAACCTGGGCATGTGCCCTGACCAGGAATTGAACTGGCAACCTTTCTGTGCATGGGATGATGCTCAACCAACTGAGCCACACCAACCAGGGCCAAAAATGTGTCTTTTAAAACTGAAACTTATAAAAGAACACATAGGAGAAAATCTACCATGGGTAGACAGACATTTCTTAGGTAGGGCAAAAAAATCCATAAATCATAAAAAGGGCCACAGAATGGGGAAAATATTTTAAAAATATCTGATAGTTTTATCTAGAGTTTATGAAAAATTCTTACAACTCATTTGAAAGACTACCGCCCAAAATGGACAGATGATTTCAGCAGAAACTTCACAGTATAAGATATTCAAATGGCTATTGAGTACATGGAAATTGGCTCAGCCTCAACAGGTATCAGGGAAAGCAAATTAAAACTATAAGGATAGATATCATTACACATCCATTAGAATAGCTAAAGTTTAAAAAGACTGACCATATCAGTGTTGAGGATGTGGAATAGTTCTGAACTCACATATACTGCTGAAGGGTATAAGAAATTATAAAACTACTTTGGAAAACTAGCAGTTTCTTAAAAGGTTTACCCTATACTTACCGTATGATCCAGCCATTTTACTTCTAGGTATTTATTTAACCAAGGTAAATATAAACATGTGTCCTCATATATGAATTTTCATAGCAGCTTTTTTCACATAGCCAAAAAACTGAAAACATCTCAAGTGTCCATCAGCAGGTGAATGGATAAATATGAATGGATAAACCCAGCCAGGTTAGTGTGACTCAGTGGCTGAGCATCAGCCTATCAACCAGGAGGTCGCTGGTTCAATTCCAGGTCTGGGTTGTGGGCTCAAGCCCCATTGAGGTCGTGCAGGAGACAGCCAATCAATCAGTGCTTCTCTCTCTCTCTCTCTCTATCCCCCTCTTTTTCTCTCTCTAAAAAATCAGTAGAAACATACTAAAAGAAAAAATAAAGAAGAATGGATAAACCCATGCCATGGAATGCTACTCAAGAATAAAAAAGTAAAACTCTAGCCCATGTGGCTCAGTTGGTAGGAACGTTGTCTTGTACACTGAAAGGTTGCAGGGCATATACCACATACCTTGGTTACAGGTTCGATCCCCAGTAGTGGAGTTTGCGGAAGGCAACTGATTGATCTCTTCTCTCCCCTTCCCTTCCCCCTCTCCTTCTGCCTTTCTTCTGCTCTCACTAAAAATCAGTGAATAATGTCCTAGGGTGAGGATAAAAAAAAGAATAAAAAAAGTATAAACTATTGATACACAAAACAACATGAATGAATATCACTTGAAGTATTACAAGTGAAAGAAACCAGACATAAATAACTATATTTGTTAAAAAATGCCAGCTGATCAGTAATTAAAAAAGCAGATGGGTAGTTGCCTGGGGCCAAGGGCAGAGGGAAAAATGGATTGTAAAAGAGCACAAGGAGACTTTTAGGGTGATGGAAATTTCTTGTATCTCAATTGTGACAGTAGTTTCATGAGTGAATAAAGATTCAGAACTCATCAAATATAAGTTTTAGAAGGGATACAGTTTTTTACATATAAATTACAATTTAATGAAGTTGATTTTAAAGGACTACTTTTAAAGATTATAATTTTATCTTTTTATATGATTAACAAGTTTATTTAACATTTCTACAGATGATTTAGTGATATAACAAACTTTGAGTACATGTTATTTGTAAAACAAGTCATTCTGGGGTAATAAAGCACAGCACCTTATTATGTACACGTTAAAAGAACCAAATTGTAAAAGATGTATTTCACATAACCGTAAGCTGAGTTTATGTGACTATATATTTACTAAGAGGCTGAATTTTTTTCAAAATATAAGGATTTCTGTAGATTTATTTTATGAAAGGGTAGAGCTTTTAGTATCTGTGATTGAGACAGCCAGACATAAATTATTTAATTTTGGGTTACATCAGATAAAGTATAGTAGTCACGTTTTTCAGTCTTATTTCACACTAAATGAAAATTGTTTTTTTTAGGCAATTGTTCTTTGTTTTCGACTACATTTCACAAAAGATAATATTACCAATAATACAGCTGCTGCTACAGTGCGACAAGTTGTTACTGTTGTTTTTGAGAGGATGGTTGCTGAAGATGAACGACACAGAGGTAAAGTGACAAAAGTTGTTTACTTTTGACAGTGGATGATGCTTAAATCCATGATTTCTCATTTATTGATTTTCAGCCTTTTTCCTGTAAATGTAAGCTACCTAAAAACGAGAATACTTTAAAAAATATATTTATCTTAGCAATATTATTATATTGATAATAGAAATTCAAAAAATAAATCTCCCATAATTTTATCATCCTAGAAGTCAATATTTTCATTTATATTTCTAATTATACTTTGTTGTTATTCTATAATTTAATGAACTAGTCTCCTATTGTACACTTAACATTGTGTTCTAAATTTTGGTATTATTTTGAGTGTTTTTATACATAAATTTTTTCCATTTGAATTATTTCTTTAGTGTCAGTTCCCAAGAGTGTGCTTCCCTCGTGTGAATTTTTGCCCTTGCCTATTAGTATGTGTTAAGGAATATTTATATAATGTAAAGATTAATCTTCCTCTATTTTTATCAAATATATTGTAATTTTTGACTTCTTTTTTTTAATTTAAAAAGTTTCCTAAAAACTTAAAAACATGTCTTTTCAGAGAGCTGGCAGATAATCTGTTTGTTTACAGTTTTATAATTTGATAACTTTTAACTGTAGAAATTATGTTTTTTTTCCCCATTTATTATCCTTAGTAGATATAAAACAAATTTTTTTTCATGGTTAGCTGAAAAGATTATAAGGTGCTACCATCATGAGCCATCTTTTTGCTTTATATAGTCAGGAAGCAAAAGATTAAACTACTTTTTCCTTTATATAGTTTTTTTCTTAAACTTTTGATATGCGTCTTTCATTTTATTTGATATTCTTTTGTTAATACTGGTAAAAATTATTGGAGTACTGCCTACTCCAATAATTATTTCACTTAACCTGAAATTAACCATTGGTCAGATTTTTCACATTTAGTTTTAGGCATTCTGAATCTGTTGTTTTATTAGAATACTTCCACTGACTTTAGTATTGATTTTTCTGCATTTTTCCTATGGGAAATGCAGTTGGAATTCTAGCAGTTTGAAATATTAGGACATTAAACTTAGAGGATAAAACAGGGCAGTTCTCCAGTTTGAATGTTTTATATATTCATAACCTCAATATAATTCCTAGATTGGGAATCTTAGCTGTGCATCACTAAAGACTGCTCTCTAATTTAATACTTTCTAATAAGGTAGAACATACTTAGAACCTCTTTCTTTTCAAGTAGCCATTAAGTCAACATTTATTCAAAACAGACTGTCAATTTACAGTGAATAATGTTTTATTAGTATTCAAAGAAGTGCTGAGTTGGGAAGCACCAATCTAGCTGACTCTTAGCAAGTTGATACTGTACCTACAACTGACATAGTAATTGTGGCAGATCAAGCAGTTACTTCTCTTAAAGATGCTAAGATGATAAAGGCAATAACTATGGTGGTAAACTTTTATATGTTTATTTAATATTTAAAGGCACATTTAAAGATCATGTGGATTTCAGATTCATGAAATAAAAGGGCTAGATAATGGGAGACGTGGAAAATCAAATGTGTGGGTAAAGATACTAAACTTGTTAAAATGAATATAAGTCAGTGAACAGTGATATGACATTTTGTATAAAGTAGATTACCAATTTTTTTTCATTTTTGAGGCATATTCTGAACTTATAATTAAAGTTTATAATTCTATAAACAAGCATTTATTTTAAGCATGCCTTTTAAATAGTATGCAGTGTTTGATTTATATAAAGGTCATGAACTCCTAAAACTTACCTTATTTTGATTGCAGATATTATAGAACAACCAGCACTGGTTCAAGCCAATAGTAACAGAAGATCTGTCAGTACTCTCAAGCCTTGTGCTAAAGATGCATATATGCTTTTCCAGGTATTTCAGTTAATAAAAATAATTTTTATTATCATATATAGTTTTGAATTTTATGTGATTTATTTTTTTAAGTGTCCATTTTTAAGATTGTCAAATTTTATAGTGTTTCAAAAAAGTTCTAAAACATTAAGAAGCTAATTAATATGATAAAATGTTATGTTTTAAGGAAATAAAATGAGTTAAATGCACAACTATAAAAGAGGCCACTTAAGGATGACTAGTCATATAAAATAATTTCTTTAACAGGAAAATTTAAATAATAATTGGTATACTTACTATAATTTGTATAAAAATACCTGATTTTTACATTATTTGTTGTGACTAAATCTTTTAAGTAAAATACAATTTATTTGTACTGAAAATTTTATTAAGTTTGTGATCAAATGGTTATTTTAGGTGGATTTTCGTTAAAAGAAAGTTAGATTAATAATTTATCTGTGTACTCTGTATAGTGTTAATAGTTATGATTCATTAATCTGTGTACTCTATATGTTGATAGTTGTATGACTCATTTATCTGTGTATTTTATTGTCAATAGTTATATGATTCTTTAAAAGTTTACCTATATATTCATATACAATTTGTCAAAATTTGAATTACCAATGTTTGGTTTCTAAGGAGTGAAAACAACTACACTATAAGAAGAAATTCTTAAAAATTTTATGAACATTGAGTTTTGAAAAAAAAACCACACCTTTTATTCCAGCATATGATTGTTTTATTTATTTTTTATTTATTGTTTGACTTATTTTTCTAGGATCTTTGTCAATTGGTTAATGCTGATGCTCCTTACTGGCTAGTAGGCATGACAGAAATGACTCGAACATTTGGCCTTGAATTACTTGAGTCAGTCCTGAATGATTTTCCACAAGTCTTTTTACAAGTAAGCCATTTGTAGTATCTTGCTACAAACTTATTCTTAAAATTTTTACAGATATTTTTCAAGAAAGCAACATGTATTTTTTCCCACATTAAAAGATGTGAAGAATTATAGCCTTAGACTTTAGACTTATAATAATTTAATGTTATCTTACATTGTTGAAATGCCCTAGCACCTTGAAATTTTAACATTAGAAGGAATCCCAGGATACTGTCTATTCAGGCATTTCTCAGTCAGTGAATATATGAGGGAAGGTGGTATGTGAGCTATATTTATAATATATAAAATAGAAAGAAATTGTTATTGATTTTTATTCGTTTATATGTAGCTATATGCTTTTAGATAATTTTTAAAAAATACACACACAAGGATATGTTTTTATTGATTTCAGAAAGAGGAAGGGAGACAGAGACAGAGAGAGGAAGGAAGGAAGGGAGGAAGCAAGAGAGGGAAAGGAAAGAAAGGAGAGAAAGGGAAGGGAGAGGGAGGGAGGAAGGAAGGAAGGAAGAAAGAAAGGGAGGGAGGGAGGGAGGGAGGAAGAAAAAGAAAAAGAGAACATTGTTGTGAGAGAGAAACATCGATTGGTTGCCTTCTGTGTGTGTCCCTACTGGGACTTGAACCCATAACCTTTTGATGTAAGGGATGAGGCTCTGACCAACTGAGCAACCTGGCGAGGGCTACTTTTAGATAATTTAAATGGAAAAAAAGAAGTAGTTGCCCTGGCTGGTGTGGCTCAGTTGGTTGAGCATTGTCCTATGTACCAAAAGGTTGCCGATTTGATTCCTGGTCATGGTACAGACCCAGGTTGCTAGTTCATCCCTGGGTGTGTGCGGGAGGCAACTGATTGAAGTTTCTCTCCCTCTCCCTTCCTCTCTTTCTCTAAAGTCAATAAAAAAATATTTTTTAACAGAATAAGGTAGTCGATGCTTAATAAATTTGTTGTGCAATAAAAATATTTTAATACAAAAAGATAATAGGGGAAACAGTAGGAAAGAATTCAGACTTTTTGTTTTACTCGTTAAAAATTAAAGCCCAAAATTGATTCAGTGATTTACATAGGGTTCCTTAGTTAATAGCAGATCTTGAACTAAAATTTAGATTTTTAAACTACTTATCTACCTTGTTTTCCTACCATTCTGTCTGCCTAAGTCATCTATTTTATCCTTTGCTCTTACCTACAAAATGTGTGAATCAGTGCCACAATAGTAGATGATTCTTTAGGCCTGGAGTTGGGACTGAAATTTTTATTACATGGTTCACAGTTTTTTAGTATATATTAGTCAAGTGTTCAATGCTTTGGGGAATAATGAACAATATTCACTGATGATTCCCTTTTTTGTGTTATTATAGAATAAATAGTGTTTAGATATAACTTGTCTAACAGTCTTATATAAAATGATAGTTAGAACAGCTACCATTTTTTGACTGCTTACATGCTATAACTATGCCAAATTCCTTACATATTACATTCACCGTAATCTTCACAAATGCCTGAGAAGTAGCAGTTATTCCTACTTTTCACAGGAGGAAACTAAGACTTTCAGAGGGTTAAGTAATTTGTCTAAGGTTTAATGGTTTGTAAGTGACAGAGTTAGGATTTGTACTCATGTTGATCCAGATTCCAAATTAGTTTTTCTTCTTAGCCTCTCTTTTCAGTCACACTGCACATCCAAACCATTACCTTCAAAATGCGTACAGGTTCTAGTCACTTCATACGATTTTTATCACAATCATCCTACTCCAAGCCACCATCACCTCTTACCTAAATTATTGCATTAGCTTCCTAATTGGTATCTTTGCATCCATACTTACCTCATTCTATTATAGTTGCTTATTACACCACATCCAAAATAGTCTTTAATAAAAACAGGTCAGATTTTTTCAGTCTTTTGTAAAAGTGTTCCTGTAGATGTCCTTTTTGCCCAGAATAAAAGAAGAAGTCCTAATTATGGTCTATGGAACTTTTCATGATCCAGTCCCCGGGATTCCTTTACCTTACCCCTTTTCACTCTTCCCTTTACCATTACTTTTTAGCCAGGCTGTGATTCTTGCTGTTCCTTAAATGACCCAAGTGGACGCCTGCTTCAGGCCTCTGTAACTTAACTGTTTTCTGGGTCTGGAATGCTTTTCTCTCAAATAGCTTGTCTCTTACTCTTTTGAGGTCTTTGCTCAGTGGTCAACTTTTCAGACAAACCTTCCCCAACACTTTATATAAAATGGCAACTTTTCATGCTAATACCCTTATCTTATTGCCTCCTGACATATGTGTATTTGAATATTAGTTTATTTTTTATCTTTTCTTATAGGAGAGTAAGCTCTATGAGGTAGGGACTTAGTTCACTGTTGAGTCTATAATAGTGCCTGGCACATGGCAGGTGTTTGATAAATGTGTGAATGAATGAATGAATTGGTACATGAATTTAATTAGAAATTTCTGTTCTTTGGATTGTGTTTTCTGATTTTGTAGGAAAATATTTGAAAAAATGTTTCTAATTTCAGATTTATTGTGTATACAAATGACTTATTCTACTTTATTCTTCCTGCTATAATGCAGAGGGGGGACAAAAGAATTATTCTTTGTAATAAACTAGAATTTGCTCCTGTAAAGTTTTCATTAAGAGATAAATATTTGTTTTCTTTCACTAATTATTATTTTTTTAAAATATATTTTATTGAGTTTTTACAGAGAGGAAAGGAGAGAGATAGAGAGTTAGAAACATCGATGAGAGAGAAACATCGACCAGCTGCCTCCTGCACACTCCCCACTGGGGATGTGCCCGCAACCAAGGCACATGCTCTTGACCGGAATCGAACCTGGGACCTCTCAGTCCGCAGGCCGACGCTGTATCCACCGAGCCAAACTGGTTTCAGCTCTTTCACTAATTATTTACCTAATTTAACCAAAATTGCCAGTCATTTAGAATGTGCTGGTCTATGTGTTCTGTGCCAAGGATGCAGATGTGAAATGAGACAGATAGAAGTCTGGCCCTGTGGCACTTACAAGTCTAATTTGGAGAAAAATATTAACTGAATAATGGATTTGATGAATGCTGTGAAGGAAAAGTGTAAAAAGTGTGTGGGAGTGAATAACATAGGCACCAAACTGGTGGAGAGTTGGTGATGAATCAAACACATGAAGCTTTTACCTGAAGGGGGGAAAGTAGTGAGTTGGGAGAAACAGGCAGAATAAGAAAAGGATACTCCAGAGCAGTGAACCTGAAAAGGGATCTTTGTATAGAAAATAAGCTCTATAAGGGCGGACAAAATTTAACTTAACCCTGAACCCCTTTCCGTACCACAGTTCCTAGCACATATTAAGCAGTAAGCCAGTAATTGCTAAATAAATCAATGAAATGTTGTACATAAGGGAAAAGGCTTGAACAGTGAACTGCTTGCTAAGATGGAATATACTCTATGGTAAACTTTTTATTACAAGGGATAGATTATTCAGTTTTAAACACACTCAAGTACCTCAAAATGAGGTACTGCAAAATATTAGTTGAATTTATGCATTTTGAGCTTGGAAATAAGGTTTTGGGCTGAGGTTATAAATGTAAACATCACTGGCTTGTAATTGGGAGTGAAAAAGATCACCTCTGGTGATAGCACAGACGAGGAAGCCAGGTCCTGGTACTATGGAGCTCCGAGGAATCTCAGCATTAAATGGTTAAGCATAAAAGGGTAAGAATATAAAAGAGGCCAGAAAGGCAGGAGTGCATGTGACTCAGTGAGACACATAAAGGACAAAAGCAAAGAAAGCTTCAAGGTGAACCAAGTAATCAGTTAAGTCAAGTGCTTCAGAAAGGTATGGTAAGATGAAGACTGAAAAGGCAGTGTTCGCTTTGTCCACAGAGATCATGATGAATATAATAAGATTACTTTCTGTAGAGTTAGGGTATTTCATGGTGATTTCGGAAGAAATGCAGTTGTAATCAGTTGAGTAGTGAGGGGGGAAATAAATAGATATAACTTTTAAGTCTTGTCTGTTATAGTCATAAATTAACCAATATAGAAAATTATTTAGTAAAGTATGACAATAACCTTAATTATGTCTTTAATTTTGTCACTCAAAGAAACTAACTGTAGACATGAGAGTAGACTTTCAAATCACTAAACTGTTAAGATCCCGTTTTGGGAGGGAAGAAAATGGAACTCCCACTTCTAGGAATATATCCTAAGAATCCCAAAGAACCCACCAGAAAGAATATATGTACCCTTATATTCATAGCAGTGTTATTTACAATAGCTAACATCTGGAAATATCCCAAGTGCCCATGAGTAAATGAGTGGATAACAAAGTTATGGTACATATACACCATGAAATACTATGCAGCAATAAAAAGGAAGGATCTCGTAACTTTTGAGACAGCATGGAGGGACCTGGAGACTATTATGCTAAGCAAAATAAGTCAGAGAAAGACAAGTGTCACATGATCTCACTCATATGTTGAATCTAATGAACAAAGTAAACTGATGAACAAAATAGATCCAGAGACAGAAGCATAGAACACACTGTGGAATCTCAGAGGGAAGGCAGGGGAGGGTGAATCTGATATTGGTTAATTCCTTCCCTGTGCATAACCAATGGACACAGACAATAGGGTGATGAAAGCCTGGGGCAAGGGGCTGGAGTGGGCTAGATGGGGTTAATTGGGGGAAAAAGGGAGCATATGTAATACTTTTAACAATAAAGATTTTTTCTTTTTTAAGAAAGATCTATGACCCTTTGAGATAATATGGAGTGACCTGGAGATTATTATGCTAAGTGAAATAAGCCAATCAGCAAAATACAAATATCACATGATCTCACTTATATGTGGAATCTAATGAACAAAATAAACTGATGAGTAATATAGAACCAAAGGCAAGGAAACATGGAAGAATGAGAAATCTTGGAGGGAAGAGGGGGTGGGGCAGGAAGGAATTAACCAAAGAACTTATATGCATATGTGCATTGCCCCTAGACATAGACAATAGGGTGGTGAAGGCCTGGGACAGGGTGGGAACCTAGGGGACAGGGGCAGTCGGGGGAAAAATAGGGGAACATCTGTAATATTCTCAATAAAGTTTTTAAAAGTACATTGAAATGAATATAAAAATTTGGAAGGAATTAATTTGGAACTAACAATGACTTATCTCTAGGAGCTGAGATTATAAGAGGCTTTTAAAAATACGTTTTTTATTGATTTTAGAGGAAGAGGGAGGGAGAGATAGAAACATTGACATTATTTGGTTGCCTCTTGCACTCCCCCTACTGGGGATCAAGCCAGCAACGAGGACATATGCCCTGACCAGGAATTGAACCAGTGATCTCTTGGTGTATGAGTTGACACTCAACCACTGTGCCATACCAGTTGAGCATTTATTTTTATCTTTTTATATTTTTCTCTCTAACGAATCTGATATTTCCCTCTAATTGTTTTTCTTGAATGAATCTGAGTTTTAAAAATACATTTTAAAAAATTTGTGATTCTGAACAAATGAATTACACTGTGCCTTATTATTTCTTTCTCTTTTTTTTGGTAAGATTAAAGGGTTAGAGGATGAAATTTATGTTTGTGTCATTATTCTTAGCCTAAATGATATTTGAATAATTAAAACAACAAAATAATGTATATTTGAGGTTAGATATTAAATGTTGACTGGGCCTTACATTTTCAGTAAAATGGGACTAGTTTCACAAGGAATTAACAGATATGGGGATGTTTTCTGCATAATATACTATGACTGTAAGTAAATTTAAGAATTCTTGCCGAAACCGGTTTGGCTCAGTGGATAGAGCCTCGGCCTGCAGACTGAAAGGTGCCAGGTTCGATTCCGGTCAAGGGCATGTACCTGGGTTGCGGGCACATCCCCAGTGGGGGATGTGCAGGAGGCGGCTGATTGATGTCTCTCTCTCATCGATGTTTCTGACTATCTCTCTCCCTTCCTCTCTGTAAAAAATCAAATAAAATATATTAATAAAAAAAAAAAGAATTCTTTGCAAGATTTTCTAGATTTAAAAAAATGCTTATTTGTCATTGTATTTTTTCATCAGTTTGTGTTTTGTTTAAGCAATCTACGTATAACAGAATATTGTGTTCATTGATACATCTGCACATGAGTGGAATTATCTTTACACAAAAGAATCAATAAATTGTGTAACTTACTATACTTTCTTTATTAATCAAGGTTTCTCTCCTCAGCTGCCTATTTTAAATACTTTATCCATTTGAATTTGTGCAATCTATTTTCTTTCTTCTGTTCTTTATATTTAGAGTCTTTTAAAAAAACTTACTGACATATTATCATTTTGATTTCACATTGTCAGCAGTGCTAATTTCAGAATTGTTTGTAAACAAAATAATAAACTACATAAACTTATAATAAAGCTAATTTACTCATAGAGATTATTAAGAACTTTATTTACTAGTGAGACTGTTTAGTACAAACTAAGTTAATTGCTTTTCTTTTCTTTTCCTTTTTTTTCTTTTTTCTTTTTGCAACTAGCACCAGGAATTTAGTTTCCTCCTAAAAGAAAGAGTATGTCCTCTTGTGATAAAGCTCTTTTCTCCAAATATAAAGTTCAGACAAGGTTCCAATACTTCATCTTCTCCAGCACCAGTTGAAAAACCATATTTTCCTATCTGCATGCGTTTGCTGAGAGTTGTATCTGTTCTGATTAAGCAATTTTACAGTCTTTTGGTAAGTACTAATTTTCATATATATTTTTGTGTGTTATAGGCAGTGCTCTTTTTATTTATTTTTTAAAATATATGTTTATTGATTTTAAGAGGAAGAAAGAGGGAGAGATAGAAATATCATTGATGAGAGAGAATCATTGTTCAACTGCCTCCTGCATGCCCTACACTGGGGATTAAGCCCACAACCCAGGCATGTGCCCTGAACTGGAATCGAACTGCGACTCCTGGTTCATAGGTTGATGCTCAACCACTGTGCCATCCTGGCGGGGCGGCAGTGCTCTTTTTAGAAGATGATCTGTTACAGTGTATTTAGCTTTTTCACTTCAGCTAAGCAGACTTTTTCTTATGAGTACCTATAAATATTCTCCTAGATACTGTAAGGCTCATTCCATTCTTTCTTGAATCTTTCCATGTTTAAATAGTATTTTTAATGAATGTTAAGGAGAGTCATGGTGTATTATCTGAAGGCAATATAGGATTTGTGACTTTGGAATTTAGTTTCTTAGCTAATTATAACTTGATGAAAATTAAAATTATAGTATCTTCAATTTATTTTCATTTTTACTATTATATATATATATACACACACACACACACACACACATACAAATTAAGAAGTTAAAAATTTAGTGAACTCTTATGATTAGAAATCAATTTCAACTTCCAGTTCAATATTGTATCTATTTTGCATAAATTTATGGGTGATAGTTCTGATCATAATTTTATCAATGTGGTGGCTTACTCTTAAACATTCAAATATTTGTCAGAGAAAATGGTGTATTATATTTCTTGTAAATTTTAGATTAAGTCAAATTCAGCATTGTATCATTTTTTAGCATTTATAATCTTAGTCTTAATTAACAAAAATGATTGGTTTATCACCTACAGTGAGCTGTCATTGTACCAAATGTTAGCAGCCACATTACAAGCTAATGGATAGTATAGATAGTTTTTATATTAAATTCTAAGGAGAGCTTTTTAAATAAAGTTTTTTTCTGTATTTATGATATACTCATTATAGGTTTTCTTTTCATATTCCAAATCCATTTATGCAAAATGAATTCAGAAATAATCCTTATAAGCATTTGTAGTTATTTAATATTTCTGGTGACAGAGGATACATCTATAATGCACACTGATATATGTAATGCATTGTTTAGAACTATCTATTGAAAGTCATATCATTTAAGAATGTGTTGCTATTTAGGGATGCTATAATTTATCAGAGTTTGGGTCCAAGAGTTTAAGACTCTTTTGGTATATTCATAATTGTTGGGTTGGTCACTTTTTGTTCTACCAAAACTAATAATATATAAATTATTATATTTTGGGTACCTAAGTTTATGAACTTAATTATTCCATAGTCCCCTTTTCTCTGTAAGGATTAGCTTTTTAAAAATTACAGTCAGTATTTCCTGCAACATGTAAGGTATTTGATGTAATCTCCTATAATAATATTAAATTGTAAAGCCAAAACTTTGTTGTCTAATTATATACAATTAAAATGGAGGGGGACAAGAAACCCAAAACACTAATTAGAAAGAATATATGCACATTGTTCATTGCAGTGTTATTTACACTAGCTAAAATATGGAAGCAGCCCAAATGCCCATGAATAGACAAGTGGATAAAAAAGCGGTAGTACATATATACAATGGAATATTACTCGGCCATAAAAAATAATCAAAGCTTACCATTTGTGACAGCATGGATGGACCTAAGAGAATAAGACATGATTTTACTTATACATGTAATCTAAAGAGAGTAAAATAAATGAGCAAACAAAATAGAAACAGACTCATAATACAGGGAACAGATTGATGGTTGCCAGAGGGAAGGAGGTATTGGAAGGGCTAGATGAAAAAGGTGAAGAGATAAGAACTACAGATTGGCCCTAGCCAGGTAGCTCAGTTGGTTAGACTGTTGTCACAATACAACAGTATTACGGGTTTGATTCCCAGTCAGGGCACATGCAAGAATCAACCAATGAATGCGTATATAAGTGGAACAACAAATTGATGTTTCTCCTTCTCTCACTCTTCCTTTTTCCATTTCTCTTTCTCTCTAAAATCAATAACTTTTTTAAAATTAAAAAAACCCCTACAAATTGGTAGTCACGAAATAGTGACAGGGATGT